TGAGAGTTTTTTTACTATAGAGCATGTACACTCACTGGAGAGACAGACAGAAAGCGACAAATCATCCCCCAGGGGGATGGCCATTATGCAATTGCCTCTCCTCCATTCTTCTCTTGGGATCTTGGGCACGCTCGTGCAATTGCCTGGCATGAGTTTTAAGCCACCGTGTCTGGGACTCGAACTGCAGTTGACTGCATGGGAGTCCAGTGATATAACCATGACGCCATCTGCTGGTCCTCTCTTTTTTTCTTCTATGAGAGAGAGAGAGAAAAAGAGAACTTCAAACAAGGGCTTTCACACTGTGCTCCACCCTTGCTTCAGCCAGCTCCAGATGATCACGGACACATGCATACCTGGCATGTTCAGGAAGGACTCGGACATGAATCTAGAACCTTCTCACATGGGTCAGCCTTGCAGAGTGTTATGTTACTCCGGTGCCACCATCTGGCCCCGAAAGTCATTTGATAGTAGCATGAAACCATTCCAGTTTCACTTTTGCCCAGTGTAGAGACCTAGACATTAAAACTTCAGATGTAAAATGAAGTCTTTGTTAGGCTTCTTTATTATCTCTTTACCACAGGCAGACCTCCATGTTTCTATAGGGCTGATGGTGGATAGGCTGAGGCAGCTGTCAATCTTAGGGGTTTAATTGCATCTGCGCTCAATTGCGTGAGGTCTAGGCCCCTCCAGTACGTGGGGTCACCACGGAGTAGCCCTTGAATGACCTCATCTTGGAGGCCAAGAACGTGCTAGCATTTTGCACACTGTGAGCCAGCTTTGCTGCCTAAGCAGAAGCTATAGTTGCCTTACGTTTTCATGCATGCGCTTAGCTACCGCCTTGCCTTTCATTGAGTGTGGCAAGCGATGCCAAAGCTCATTGGCGGTTTGGCGCAGGCACTGTGCCGTGAATATGTGCTGCTGTCCAACCAGTGGCAGGGGTCTCGGCACGTCTGGCTGTTTATCCTGCTGTCATGACAGCTGCTGGGCCCCTCAGTGCGACCACCGGGTTAGATGGAGCAGAGGCCCCTGCATGGTGGGTCTGAGGGGGTCTGCTGGTGGGAAGCAGCAGTATTGAGCTCTTGAAGGACCCCGGTTGGGTTCTGGAGCTTTCCGTGACTGCTTCCTGTGACACGGGGGAGGTTTTCAGTTCGACCTTGGTCTCACTCTGATCTCACTGTTTCTCGTTAGATATTACAACTGGACAACCGCAGCGCCTCTGCTCCTGGCGATGCAGGCCTTCCAGAAACCTTTGCCAAAGGTGAGCTTTAACACGAGGAAGAGTAGGAGATGCTAAAAATGATGGCTAGGTTAAGCTGGGCAGTTGGATTTAACTTTTATTTTAGAAACCAATAAGTTAATTACATCGTGCTCTTTCTTTCTTTTTATTTATTTATTTATTTATTTATTTATTTTTATTTCAAAAGGGAATGCCATGCATGTCAGTCAGTACAGAGACATTAATCTCCCCACTTCAACATTCCATATCTTTTCTGTTTTCCCCAATCATTATTTTTATTATTCTAATTATTTTTATAAAACAGTCAATTGCTATTTCTCGTTTTGCTTGTAAAAATACTTTGCCCATCATGAAATACTTCTCAGACCAATCCAGTTGAGAATTCTATACATGTCATCATCAACAGTTAATAAGCCCTATCTGTTTCTCACTAACGTCCTGTCTCTCTATTGTTCACTTGCTATCTTTCTCTATCCTCTTCTCTTCACTTACCCCATTCCACACTGTCCTATTCTCATTAAGTACCTTCACTGCTTTTATGTCCTCCGATTTTTTGCTCTCTATTATAGAGTGCATCGTGCTCTTTCGACATTCATGAGTATTCACATTAGGAGTTTCGGATCTCTCTCTTCTGCGCCCCATCCCCATCAAGGCAAAACCTCCCAAAGGTGGCAGTGCAGACCAGGGGTGCCTTTCCCAAGACCTGCTGTGCTAGGGACAGAGGTGGGGACAGAGCAGATGAAGGGGCCAGGCGTCAGAGCCAAGAGACAGTGAGGGGAAGAGTTGGCGTGGTAGGGTTGAATCAGGCAGTAGGACAGGGTGCAGGGAGGCAGAGCATCAGACTGTAGGTGCCAGCTCTGGATCAGGGGTTGCTCAGCTCCGGAACCAACCGTGTTCTCCAAGGCAGGGAAACGTACAGGGCCTGGGCAGCTCTGTTCTGCAGGTGAGGGTATGAAAGTGGCCACAAAGAAGCGTCTGGTTAGGAGGACAGGCATAGGTCCCTGCCTCTCCACAGCGTTCTTGTCCTCCCACAACTTACTTTACACTCGGCCTGGAAATGTCCATTTCCCCAGGGTTGCATCTTCCTATTGGATTCCAGGCTTGCTTTGTTGCAGAGATCCCACCTTGGGCTTGTTTATATCCTGTGTACACTTAGCAGGTGGTCTGTGCTGCTGAGGGTGCTGTTCATTCGGTCGTGCTGGTGTTCGAGGCTCACTCCTTAGTGTTGTGCATGCGTGCGCGCAGGTGGGCGGGTGCACTGTGGTGTGGGGGTTGCGAGCTCCTCTTTGGGGGCCCTCCATCTGAGAGTATTCTTTGTGACTGGCGTAGGGCATGTTCTGCAGAGTGGTTTTTGAATTGTCCCTACCAGATGTCTCATGGTGTCAGTGGCCTGAGACGAGTTTTCATGTTGCATTTCTCAACTCTCAACTCATACAAATCCATAAGAAAAGGAGTAATGTTAAAGGGTTTAGTTTGCAATAAAAGAAATACCCGTGACTCCCACCTTAAAGAAATTGGTCTTAAGAACATGCTCAGTCCTCTCACAGGGCCAGTCACTGATTTTTTTGGCTCTATTTTTGGCCTTTCTCTAACGCAGACCTGGTTTTTATCTGTTGACTTTGTCAGTCTTTAGCTTTTATGACTGTTTTATGTCACACTTAGAACAGCCCTGTTTCCCCATTTCTGAAACTTTTCTTCATTTCTGAAACTTTTTTTTAGAGAGACTTCTTGCTATAGGGTGTGTGCGCTTGCCAGAGAGACAGAGATAGACAGATAGAAAGTGAGAAATCACCTCCCAAGGCGTGGATGGCTGTGCCGCAATCCCTTCTTCTCCATTCTCCTCTCTGGCTTTTGGGCACACACACACACACACACACACACGTACACACGTGCCCGGCGTGGGTTTCAAGCTACCAGGTCCACGACTCGAACTGCAGTCAACCATGTGAGTGTCCAGTGAAGTAACCATTACGCCATCTGCTGATCTCTCCTTGCATATTTTCTTCTAGCACTTTCTTTTATTTCTCTGATCCATCTTTCTTTTATTTTGAAAGTTATCAGGGAGGTGTCAGGAACCAAATCAATTTCTTTTCCCCAGATTGCTATTGAATCAGGATGCTTTTGGTTGTACAAAACAGTAAAGGTGGCTTAAATAATACAGTGTTTATCCTCTTACATAATAAGAATCTTAGAGGTTGCAAGTTCTGGGTTTTATTATTTGGGTTTTATTATTTGGCTCCTCTGATTTTTCCTCTTGATACTTAGTTATTTGTTATTATTTTTTTAATTTGACAAGAGAAGAGAGAGAAAGCAAGAGAGCAAACTGCCAGGTCTGAGACTCAAACTGTGGTCGGCCATGTGGGAGTCCGGCATCTTAACTACCACGCCACCTGCCAGCCCTGCTCCTCTGGCTTGTTTTTGCTTTTTCTGTATGGTCACAAAATGAGTGTGTGACACATCATTTCCTCATCTGGCCACGTCCAAAATAGGAAAGATGGGGCAGAGTTCTCCTATCTCCTTGGCCAACACTTGGTTACATGATTATCTCTAAACCAATTATTGGTAGGACAAAGGAACAGCTGTGAATGGCATGGGCCAATCAAGGTTCATCCCCTTGTGTCTATCTTGTCGGCATGATTTTTTTTTCCTTTTTAAAAATGATTTCTTTTTCCTAAGAGTGAGGCAGAGTGACATAGAGACAGCTTTATTAATAGGATCTTGATGTCATGATCCCCTCCCAGCCTCAGCCAGCCCTGGGTCATGGCCACATACGTTCCCCACATACTGGGGAGGTCTCCGGATATCAACCTGGAGCCTTTCCACTGGTTTATCCTGTAGAACATTCCATTTTACCACTGAACCACCATCTGGCCTATGTAGACCAACCCCGAACAATATTTTAGATCTGTTTGGCAAGAAAGAAGGGGGAGACAAGTGGGCAACTAACAGGGTCTGACAGTGCTTCATAATTATCCTGATGCCTTTATTAAATAGCCCTTCCCCATAAATTGATAGGCAATTGCAACTTTATCACCTGTTCAGTTTTTTAAATGAATTTGAGTTTATTTCTGGACTTTTTGTCTTCTGTTCTTGTGATATATTTACTTAAGGCCTGAAACTATATTCTTTTAACTATTATAGTTTTAAAATGTATTTTAGTATCTAATGGAGTTTGTGCCTACTTATTTTATTTGATTTTTAGAACTTTAAAATCAGTTTAGGCCTGAAAATAACCTTGTTAATTTTTTCTTTCTCTTTTTCGCTTTCTTTTAAAAATTGAGGCTTTTTTTTTTTGGCATTTGTGGGTGAATTTAAGGGAAATATGGTAATTGATGTCTTCATGAATTGTCCTGTTCACGGACAGTATATATGTGGCTTGTATTTTAGTATACTCAGGTTCTCTTTTGTGGCAGGGACCTTTTACATGATAAAAAAAAGAATACTTCAGACCAAATAGTGAATTATTTATCTGTTTATTTACCTGTGTCCTGTTAGGTGGAAATACTTAAATTTTTCTTTTACTACTAGTTGAGGTGTTAGATTTTTGGAAGTTCTATAACTGAGGAAAGGATTTTAGATAACTTTGGTTCTGAAGTTAACCTCAAGGTAGATATTTTGTTCTTGGAAGTAGAAAATTATTTGTTCCTATTTAGTTTCCCCCCTCAAGCTTTATTTAGGGTGAAAGTATGAATTTTCTTTTTAATACTTAAGATTTTAAATCAAATGCATTTATTAATTTGGATATTTCCACTTACTAAAACAATCTGCATTTTACCTTTTGTTGAAAACTGTCTGATTCTGTACTCCATATTAATCATTTCATATTTTATTTTATAATCATCATATTGAGGGTAATGATATCTTAACCAATGAGCTACTTTAATTTGAAAACTTCTGGTTTTACTAATCACTAATGATTTTTAATGCTTTCTTTTTTTGTTGTTGTTGTGTTGTATTTTATTTGTTGTTTGTTTATTCCTTTAACATCTTCTTAAGTCTTCATGCTTAAGTTACCTTAATGTAATTTTGGACGCCATTAGATTTTGCTTCTCTAAAATTTTTAATTCACAAATAGTATGTTGTGTTTTCTTTTCTTTTCTTTTTTAAGCTTACTTTAATTTGCATGTGTGTTTCTTTTGGTTTGAGTGTGCTAAGTCGCTCTTCTTTTGGTTCCATTATTTATGTTACCATCCATTTAAAACAGGCCACTGTGGAGTCTATCATGAGGGATAAGATGCCCAAAAAGGGAGGAAGATGGTGGTTTTCATGGAGGGGAAGAAACACCACAATCAAAGAGGTAAGCACAGCAAACCACGTAGTGTTTATATTTAGCCGATACCGATTTTGTGTAGTGAAGTTTGTCTCCCAAGCACTTACATCAGAGAAATAGGCATCCACTGTGGCGCCATGTTTTCTTGGGCTAGCTCTGCCAGAGCGGGGAGAGCGTCCCAGGATGGAGGGAAGGTGGAAGAGCGAGGAGTGGGCGGGGTGGGCTCACCGTCTGGCTCGAGGACCTTGGAGAGCCGGGTCAAGCCATGACCTGTTCTGGAACATTTCTTCATCTGTCAAAAGAGGGGATCCAACCTGATCATTTATTTTGAAAAAATACGTATCTCTTCCTGCTGCTTGTGAGGACACTTTCATGGAGGTTTACTGTAGTCCTTTCCCTGAGATGGAATGTCTGAATATCCATGGCTTTGGCTTCCATCTCTTTAGATGCCTACGGATTTCTTTTATATCTTGGTCAACTTTTCAACCTATCTTTTGAAGCACTTTCTTTGCCTGGCTTCTGGGCTGTGGCATTCACCTGGTTTTCTTCCTCCCTCTCTGGCTGTCCCTCCTTTCACTGATCTGCTCTAGGAGAAGGTCCTCAGAGGTTGTCTCGGCGCCTTCTTTGCAGCTTTTCCTCTTTACTTTCCCTGGCAGTCTCATTCATAGCCACGTGGTGACGCCATGAATATTTCCAAACAAGATGTTCTCCTGTGCTCACGACTGTCTGTCCAGTAGCAGTGCAGTGACTGTCTCCCTGTGGACGCTTCATGGTGTGTCAAAGTCACCATTTCCAAAATCGATCTCCTGACGGTCTCAGAGTTCTTTGTTCCCTGGGGCATGTCAGAACATGGCGCTGCTGTCCATCCAGAGCCTAGATTCTTGCCTTTTCCTCCTCCCACACCTGTCAGGCCTGCCACTTCACCGTCTCAACTATTTCTCGAATTTGCCCATTTCTTTCTGGCTCCATTTTTATAAATGCAGCCTGCCACCCTCTTACCCACAGTCACATCCAGATGGTCTGCTCGTACCAATTCCTGCCTTTCTTCTTTATTCCCTATGCTGTTGTCCGCGTGGTCTGTGAAGGGACCCTGTCCAATTTACATTGCTTCCTTCTTAAAACCTGTTAGCGGTTTTCCAGGGCTCTTCTTATAAAGACCGATTTCTTTAACACGGTGGACAGGACTTGCGTGTTTTAGCCCCTGCCTCCCTAGCTAACCTTATCTTTGCCCCTTTCCCACTGTCCTCTGTGTTTTAGCTTTACTGGCTCAAATGAGCACCTCCTACGGCAGGGCCTTTGCACATGATATTTTCACTGTTTTAAGGTCTCCCCGCCCCTACTTTAATCAACTGGCAGCTCAGGTGCCCTCCTCAGCAGACTGGCCTGGTCTGCTAGTCTCTGCTCACAGAGCCGTGCCTGGGACTGTTTCCTTCATGTGTGTTGTCAGTGTTTGTAATTATGCACTTGTTAGTGTATGCACATCTCTGTCCCCTCCAGATCTAAAATGCTGTGAAGGCAGAGACCATGTGTCATGCCCACCTGGAACCCCGAGCAGGGGTTTGGCACTATTTGTTAAGGGAGTAAGAATTAATCTTGGAATGTAGTATGAAGAACCACAGAGACAACATTTAAGCTGGTTTTTTCCATAATGAAAGAAATCCCAGTGAATGGATTTCTTCCAATGGAACTCTATTTCATTTGCTCAGCTGAACACTGTTGGAAGAGTTTTATCAAGATGTAACTGTTAGAAATGTTCTGTTAGAATGGTTGGGTTGACTGATGATCCCATTGTCTCCAAGGGGTATTAATGAGTTAGAACAAACATAGAAGCTTTACTTTGGGGACTTTAAAGCATAAAAGGTCTTTCTTGTTTCCTTTCTGGAGAGTAGATTTTCTTGAATTTAAGGTAGAGGCCTCTCAAAGGCCTCTTTACTGAAGAGTATCTAACTTTTTTGGTATTTTTTGGGAGAGATTTTTGCTAGAGAGCACATGTACTTGCTGGAGAGACAGAGAGAGATGGAGAGAGAGAAAATGAGAAATCTCCCCCTGAGGGGTTGGTCACGCCACAATCCCCTCTCCTTTTAAGATTTTGGGCATGTGCTCACACACACCTGGCGTGAGTTTCAACTTGCCAGGTTCAGGACTTGAACTGCATTTGGCCATGTGGGAATCTAGCATCTTACCCATCATGCCACCTGCTTAAATTCTTACTAGATTTAATTGAGAAGAATACCAAGTGAGGTAAGGGACATTTATGAAATTAAATGCTTCTTTCAAAATTTTGACATACGTCTCTTTTGGATAGACATTTGACCTAGCCTAGTAAACCTTGCTAGCAGTGGTGGCAGAGTGCGTGCCTCGATATCTAGACTGAAAACAACTGGGTATGTTGCCCTGTCAGTTATTGGGGTGCTTATAGGAAAACTAAAGAAAACATGCTAAGAGTGTGCCAATCATGTTTCGTCAGTCACCCTGTCATATTGTTTACATTCTTTATTAAAGTAGGATAGTGAAGTCATTAACCTGTCTCCTGACAATGTGACCACAGAGAAAGAGATTTCATTGTCTCCTCCCTCAGCAGTCCTGTGTGGCCTCACTGACTTCCTGTGAAATCCCTGGGCCTGGGCCTGTCCCGTGTCCCTCCCCCCTCGATCTCATGTAGCATACATTCCCTCGATTTCCCAGAAGAGGAAGTGACACTCAGAGCGAGGTTCCTAAGTGAGAGAAGCCGACCTGGGCCCAGGTGTTCTGGGAATCCGTGACTGCTGCTCATATGTCAAAGGAGCTTTTCTATCGAGACTAGCTGGTATAGAAAAAGAAAAATGCTTTCCTGTTTCTCCCAAGCAAAATGTGGTGTGAAAATATTTTCAAGCATTTCTATCAGCAATTACAAGAAAATATTTTGAAAGCCCTCAAGGATCCAGACAGCCCCACGAAGCCATTTGCATACATGCACCGTGGTGATGCGTATTGGTTTGGTGCCACAAATGCTTACGGGTAACAGAGCCGTTTCTGACATAAATATCCCTCAGCTCAGCCATATCCATCTAAGCAAAGGAGTAACTGGGACCTGCTAAAATAAACACACAGGCCCTCTGGGGCCCCCCTGGGGTATGCTCCTCTGTGGAAGGTCCCCTCGAGGGGTCCTGCTTAGAGAGGAGAATCGTTGCACACGCCCTTTCCCTTCGGCACTTCCATAACTCTTTCCTTCCTCGTTCTCCAGGAGAGCAAGCCAGAGCAGTGCTTGGCTGGGACGGGCCTCAGCACGGGAGAGCAACCGGCGCAGCTCAGCATGGCCACCAGGTGCGAGGTGGGGGAGAGGTGCCGTGGGCTGCTGAGGGGGGTCACCCAGCAGCATAAGCCTTGGACCTGGGTCCCAGCCCTGGCTCTCTGAGTCACTCAGCAAGCGTGGAGCAATGAATTTAAGCCGCTTTTCCCATGGGTGAAATGGGGTATTGCTCCTTTAGGCACAGTCGGCCCAGTAAATGTGGCCCTTCGATGACACAGCGTGACTGGAGTGCTGTCGTGCTCTCGGCCTGCGGTGGCCCCGATGCTGGCAGGGATGCTAGCTGTTATGTCCAGGAAGGGATGACTGTGACGGTGTTGATGACAATAAAAGTAGTATGGGCAATGACATGAAAAGATGTCCCTTCTGAAGAAACTTGTTTTTTTCTACAGGCTATGTCCTGGGACTTGCGTTGTGTGTTTTCCAGGTGTTGCTATGGATTCGTACGAACTTGGCACAGGAGAGATTACACTTGGGTAATAGGACGTGGCTCAGTGTTAGTGGCGTTGCTCAGGGTCATCTGTCGGTGTGGGATCTGCGGGTGACCGTCTGAGAGCAGTCCCAGTCCCGCTAATTATGATGACAGCACTGCATACTGACCCCGAGTGGTCGCCCCTCAGACACTGCCGACATCTTTCACCTGGTCCCTCACCTTTACAGCATTCCTGTGCTGAAGAAAGTCGGGATTGCGTTTCTTACTCAGCGGATGGGAAACGCTAACGGACTGAGTAAGGGCAAGATCCACCTCTGAGCCATTTCTGAACCTCGGGGGCTGAGCTAGGAGCCGGCGTGGTGTAGGCGTTTCATTCATGCCACTCGTCAACTCCTGAGCTGAGAGAGCTTCCCTTTATGCGCATTGTTGATTGACAGGCAAGGAGAGCATAGCTTTCAAGTCCTCTGACCATGGGTCATGGCTCTGCATCTTCAGCTCTTTTATTTCCAGAATTCCTGTTGGAAATAGAGCCCCCTGTCGGTGGCAAGCAG